CTTTCCTCGACTCCTTTAAAGTTTGATCTCTTTAAAGTTTGATCTCAAGTCACATCAGACTTTCTTACATCCTCTTCTCCTTGCTTTCCTCAAAAAACTTTGCTTTTTCTTGTCTGGCTAGGCTCTTTTCTCTTTCGTGCTTCTACTTCAACAACTATTCAGGCTTTCTCAGATCATCGAGATCTTTGTTGCTTCAGAACAGAAATTGGGTTTCAGCTTTGACAGGTGTCTTTTTAGCTCAGCACTGACATCGTTTCTTAGGCAGCAACTTCCTGTAGGATCTATCTGAGAAATTTCTGAATGCATAAATTACGTTGGCACGCACAAATAAGCGTAGCAAAAACATTAATTGCCACCACTTTCCAGTTGCTGAGTCACCCCTGGATGGGTTGAGCAAGTTTTGTATGCTCTGTTTTTTTGGTTTTTTGGTCCTTTTGGGTTTGGAGTACTTTTTCCAGATGAATTATCAAATTACTTTAATGTTTGGTGGTGGTGCATGGAGAATAAGGAGAACTTGTTTCATTTTTTTCTTGTTGCTGTACTTTGTGGAGAATGAAGGCATGCTGAGGAATCTTAACAAATACGCAAGAGCATCTATGAATCGGAAATCCTTTTCTGCCACGTTTAAATACTCGTTCGCCAAGAGCATTATTCTTGTTGTCTCCTGCAGAACATGGCAGGGACGTGGCAGTGGACATTGCCTGACTGTAACGGAAAGACAATATCTATGTAATTATAGACAATGATTTAGACTTTAAAAATCCTGAGGATGATGGCTGTGGCGCAGCTGGTGGGTCCTGTCTGAGGCAGGATCAAAACCACGACTTTACAGCTGGTTTCTGCTTTGGGCATGGGAGGATCAAGCTCCGCTGTGAGGATGACGTGCACAGCTCCCGAGGTGCAGAAGTGCTCGAAACCGGGTGGCAACCCGGACCCTGAGGCTGTAATTATTTCTGTGATTCCACGATTCTGTGATTCTGTTCACGTTATCTACATGTCCACACATCTTGCACCCTGTTCCTCATGTAGTCTAATGACTCTTCCTTGCTGGACGCATCCTCCCTACTGAGCGGCTGCCCAGGTGAAACGAGCCGACCGAAACACCGTTTGGGAGTGGGAGGCAGGAGTGGCTGTCCTGCTCCTTACTTTAATGCCTTTTTGATTTTTTAATTTTTTTTTTCTCCTCCTAGATCAAACCAGAGAGCACGTTGCCAGAGCCTTAACCATTGCTACCAAAGGCATAGAGAGGAACGATATCTGAGTGCTATCACGTCAAAAATTAGGTTTTAAAAAGGAGCTGTGCATCTTTTTAAGTAAGGGCTGCAATGCCAGGCCTCAGGGCAGAAGCTGTCCCCGTCAGCAAGGAGCTCGAGCAGCGTATCGCTCCCAGCGAGCAAACCGAAATTCAATAACCGCGTCTCTCCTCCTGGAGAACTTCTGAAGTTGAAACGGGAGCGCGGAGCTGTTTATCCACAGCCTCAACGGACTGGGGAAATATTCACCTGACCTTTGATGAGAGTATCACGTCCTCCGCAGAGAGCGCTTCTGTGCAAACACCTCGGCGGCACAGGAGCAAAATAAATAACTGAGAGAACGGGTTCCAGGAAGAAGTTGGAGACGGTTGGTCACCACCTGGTCCAACATCTGGGGGCAGGAGGGGAGGCAAGAGGCAGCTCCACTGTTTGGCCTTGCAGCCCTTTTACTTTGTCAGCCAGGGAGATGCTTTTTCTGGATTGTAGCTGAGTTTAAAGGGCTTAAAACCAATCACGGCAGGGAAATGCACAGAAACAGTCAAGTGTGCATCTACAGCAGCTTCTTAGCTCCTTTGTGCCTCCATGGATGAGATCTCAGCGGTGCAAGCGAAGGGTTTGGTTGTGTCCCTTTGCTGGTTGTGAGAACACAGCAGTAAGGACTGAAGGAATAAGTCGATTTTCTGACTTCTGGTTTTCTTCTTTTCCCTGCGTCTTGCTGGGATTTTTTATTATCACTGAGTCAGAATCAGATTTATAGGCTGTGAGTATGACTAATTTCCATTTTGCACCTTGCTCTGGGTCTCGAAGCAAACCATCGTGGCTCTTTGGTTTTGTGATGTCCTTGAAAGCAAAAAAAATATCAGAGCTCAGAGCAAAATATCGAGGCAGCTTTCTTGAAAAAAATAATAATAAAAGCCACACTGAGGTTTCACTGTGAGCATCCTAGAGAGCAAGAAGATTTAGCACCTTGTCTTTATCCAAACCACTAACCTGCTCCAGTTTTACAGTGTTTGGGGTTGCACCACTGGACCATGCAGACAGGTTTTGGTGTGTTCTTTCAGCGAGGGGCGATGCCCTTACTCCTTTAACAAAGCAAGCGGGAGGGAAGAGGTACTGGTGTTGGCTTTGCAGGGAAGTGGAAGATAGTGCCGTTAATTTAGTCTCATAAAATGCAAGTTTTGATGGATGCTGGGAAGTTTTATTATGGTTCTTAATGATTCATGTGACCTATGTGAACCTTACCTGGGAGCAAAGCCTCAGACTGGGTGCTCTGCAGACGGAATAGAAGCCAGAAATGTCAATTGCCACTTGTTCCCTTAAACCTGATTCATCCAGACCTGAAGTGGGAATATCTTGAATGTATCTAAATCTCCACATACGCTTTATGCATGAAAATCACGGTTGTGGTGCATTAAATTGCATCCTGAATAACTAGAAAAAATAACCTCAAAAGAGTGGGAATCAAATATAAGAGCTTGAATCCAGGCTCTGTTCAGATAAGACCAGTTTTGTGTCTCAGAGGTGGACAAAGCCCTGGAGCCCAGTTCAGGGTTGGTGATGTCTCAATAACTCATTCTCATCTAAGTGCCACCAGCATCTGCCTCATGTGAAAGCAGTTTGGGCTGGTCCAGCTGGTCAAAGTCTTTGAAAAGACAGAATCAGCTCTTGGATTTTGTGGGGGGGAACCCAAACATTATTTGCCTGTCTCTGCTCAGAGCCAGGTCCTAAGGACCACAGTCTGTCACAGTTGACTTTTAGAGTTGGCAACGCAAAGCAGGCTAAAGAATTTGGCCAAGAAAGATCTTACTGTGAGCATTTGTAATACGAGCATGAATGAAATATGTGCGAGCCCTCAGGTTAACCATTACTTTCTTCGTAGTGTTCAGATCAGATGTGGTTGGTCTTGCTGGGACATTTCCCTCCATACCAGCCTCTTCCCCTTTCCCACCCACTGCTTGGGACATCTTTAATGAGAGTATTTGTTCATCATCTTGTCTGTCCTTAGAAAGTCACACAGGAGTTGGCTTCCTGTGTTGTTCCAAGTTTCTCCAACCTGCTGCTTTGCTCCAAGCTCCACAAAACTTCATCCTGCCCAGACTCATGTGGCCAGCTCCTCAGGGACCCCTCCACTTTGGGGTGGCCACACTTGATTGCCCTCTCATCACTTGCTCATGCTGAAGGTGCCTACAGAGAGTCTCTGGGCACCTCTCACATCTGTAGCTTATCAGCTAGTAGGAAATTGGCCACATCTACTCTTCTAGAGGGATACAATAAGGATGAGCATAGGAGGGACTGACCAGCTGCAATGGGAGGTCACCAGGGACTCGGACAACTCATGATTTAAAAAAGAAAGAAGTTAATAATGCACCAAAGGTTGCCCAGAGAGTCTAAGTCACAAGATCCGACATTGAACCTAGAAATCCTGAACGTTAATCGCAAGCCTGTTCTCGTCCCTCATCTCCCATCGATGATGTTGTGTGAAGGTTAATTTTGTAGTAAAATGGAGTTAAACAAAGTGCAGATACAGTGAGAGCTGACGCCAAACCACGCTTGAGCAGAATCCAACCCGACGTGCTTTGCTCTGCAGCAGAAACACGGGCTAATCCGCTTATCGGTCTGAGTTGGAGGTCCTGTACGAGACGGAATGGGATGTTCAATTCAAACGAAAGGATTTTCTCTCTGAATAAGAGGACACATACTGAATATGCAAATAGTCAAATGTTCTCTTGACGGTTTTTCTAAACGGATTGCTTACTGCAGTGTTTAAATGAGGCTAATTTCATCTTCTGTTTCTATAGTCCTGTTGGTCCTGAAGAATCCTCAAGTATTTTGCCAGCAGCTACAAACATGGACATTTGAAAAGTCATTTAAGTCATTGGATTATATCAACCGCTGACATTATCAGCACCACTGTGTACAGCGGTGATTAGGAAGTATTCAAGCACCGTCTGTGATCAAATTATGTGTTTTTCTATAAAAAGTGTGAAAGGCTCTGACATGTCACTGTATTTCTTCTGGCCTTACCTGAAGTTCTTCCAGCTTTCTACCCCTTGGAATTAAATGCATCTACATCAGGAGACTGAATGTTCCGGTTGAAGCTGCCATAATTTCTAACAGCTCAGGTCTCACTGAAGACTCACACAGTTCCCTCCCGGAGCCCTTGTACACTGATTTTTCAGTGTAAACTTTAAAGGAAAAACAACGTTTGAGGCTGCTTAGTCACTGGTGTGCATGCCTAACACTGGGTGACTGTCAAAAAAACATCCTTAGCATTTCCATTTTAAGAAGATAAAAAATTGAACTTCGTCTTTTTCAGCATTCCTTTGCAGTGTAACATTCACAGGCTTTGTGGGACTCTTACTGCCCTTCCAGTGCTCTGTATAAATAAACCACGGGATCCCAAGAAATGTTGAGCAATTAAGTTCTTTGTCATAACAAATGGTGCTCTTAGACATTAAACATTTGCTGCACTGATGGAGATTAACAGAATTTATTGATCGTAGAGGAGGTTTGACTGAATAACGTGGGCTAAGACATGTCTGCATGCAAGAGAAGAATTAATGTCCAAAGAACCTGAGTTCTAAGAAGAACACTTAAAAATTGATAAAAAAAAAAAGAGGGGGGGAGGAAAAGAAATAGCTGTATCTAGTTACATATTGTTCTATGCATTGTGACTGCTCTAGGTGTAATAAGATCCTTTCAGGAACTTTCTACTTCAAGTGCGCTTTTATTGTTTTCCCTTTGCAGACAGGCTTTGCAAGGTCTCAACGTGATATACTGGAAGTGGTAAAAAATTCTCAAAGGCTGTTTTTGAAATCTTTAGACCTTTGACTATGTTTGCCACGATGAGCCCGACTTAACGGCAAACCCACTTGAGAGACATTTTAATGGAACACTTGAAATGAACTGGTAGTTTCCTAATGGCAGCTGAACGTGTGTTCTTGCCATTTTCCCATTTAACAAGAAGAAAAGGCCAAACAAGGACCAATTAGTCATAATAAAGTCAACTTTGATGACATTTTCACTCCTGAACTCTGGTATAAAATGGTCATCTAAGAAAGAACGGAAAGGATATGTGAGGGGTTTGGTAGTACAACCGCATGTACATACATACACACTCCTGAGTAAAAAATGATCAGGTAGACACTTGGGATTACTTTGCATTTGGAGAAAATACAATGTTTATATGGTTATGTGTATGCATGTGGTGTGGGTTGGGTTTTTTTCTCCTTAAAATTTAACCAGTCTCATTTTTTTCTTGGAAGTCTGTGCAGGTTAAACTTGGTTTTCATTCTTTGGATCTCCATGATATTCGTGTGCTCAGCTTACCCTGTTGTCCCCTCCATGGTAAGTCACGCTTTCTACTTACCTGAAAATGAGATGCTTTTTTTTCTTTTCAATAGCTGTCTTTTTTGGTAGTTTGCTTCTTTTTTTGATTGCTTATTTCTTTGTTGTTGTTGTGTGTTATAAAATGAAATAAATTTCTCGTGTTAAAGCTCCTGCTTAAATATTATTACCAAATTTTCCTAGAGCATAGTTCAGTTTTTGCTTTAGTTACTCACAAAATACGCAAGTCTCTAAAATAATGGTGAGGAATCTAATGCATATTTAAGGTAGAGTGTGGGGAGCTGAAATATTGCATGGAAAACAAAGCAAAACATCCATCTCCTCTCCATTTAGTCTAAATTCCTTGTCTATATCGAGTAGGTACAATAAGATATATGTATTTATTTCACTTATTACTAGCTAGTTTATAAGCTAATACATTTATTTGTCACTGCGTGCAGGTAGGTAGAAATGCTTGTATAAGGTTGTAGAAAATTATTGCATAGAATCACTAAAAGAAATTTGATTGAACTATGGAAGAAAGTAGAAGAGTCAGTACAATTGGAGTGAAAAGGTTACTTTAATAATCTTTCCAGCTGCTGATCCTCACCAGGTTACCAGGGCAGATTGTGGGTCAAACTGTGCATACAGCATTTACGACTTTGGACGTGGAGTAAGATCTTCTATTTCTGATGAGGCTGAATTTCCCCAAGTCTTCTTTAGACTCCCTGTTTCTTTATTGCTTTAAAATCAGCTTTAGGAGCCATGGTTCAGATTTCTTACATTTCCTCTGATGTGTTTTGCATCATTATCTTTTCATTAAGGCTCTCTGTCACCTGCAGAAGTGGTGGCTACTCATGTTGCTGCTGGTTTTATTGGTTTGAAGTTCCCCTTAGCCTTGATCTGGTTTCTCTGTATTACTGTTTTGCTTCTGCGAATGCTGAATCATCTTTCCTTTCTGATCACGGATGGTTTTAGACCCAGCTCGATCTGACTATCCACATTTCTTAATGGATCTCCTTATGGCAATGATATAATAGGTGAAATGAGTTTAATTACTTCAATGATTCTTCTTGCACGTCAAAATAAGTAATTTATTCAGTAGTGTAAGTCCCTGCATAGGTTACGAGATAGCGGCTGATAATTCAAAGGGGAATTTCTCTGTGCCTGTGTTTCCTGCAGAAGGTATTTCTTCTTGCTAGGGAGAAATTTCAGTCTGGAGCAAGATCCCGAGCAGTGGCCAGAGGCGGCTCGTGCGTGGCTGCTCATTAATTTATTAATTTATATGCACAGAGCGGGACAAAATGTTAAGCACCGAACAGTTTTAGTACAAGTAACAGCATACTGAATTAAAGCTAATCTTAGTGAAGCTAAGGGGCAGTTTTGCCATCAATTCCAGCCAGGGCAGGTGTTAACCCCTTGGCTCTGCATGCAGCCGGCTCCCAAGCGGGAGCTTTAGGAGCGATGGCAGAATATTTCTGTTAAGAAGATAACCAGGAGACTGGTAAATAAGACTATGATGAAAGTTGCACAGAATGACTCTAGACACACCAGGAAATGGTTTGTTGGGTTTTTATAAACTCACTGTTGTTTTAAATGCAATTTAAATTTGCAGAACTTGTTTAGGTGGTTTGCATTTTAATGCTGTGAAGTGTAAGGAGAAGGAATGCGCACGCAAACCGTTAGGGATTTTAATCCTTAATTTTTAAAATTTCCATTGCTACGTGGTCATTATGAAACTTAGTCGTAACTGCTAATATAACTAGTCATAACTACTAGAAAACTTTCTCCCCCAAATTTCTGTTTACAGGTATTTTCCTTTTCCCTTATCTGTCAATTAAATTGCATGGCTACACACGGATGATAACAAGACGCTGTTTCGTTGTTGGATGAAACTCATTTTACAGCAGGAAACATACATCCTACTTTAGGGGAGCTGTGTTACGTGTCGCAACTGGTCAACGTCACGAAAAACAATTCATACCGCAAACAAAATTGTAACACTGTCAGTGTTTTATATCGGAAATACTACAGTTTTCTAGAAAGCTACAAAAAAAATCTGATTTTGAGTATGATGAGTCCTTAGCAAATAACAGTTCATCCTTGTCATTCTAAGCATAAATGGTTTCTGTGTTTCTGCTTTGCTTTTTATTCTGAGCAAGTCCTGGCAAATACACAAATCCATTAACTCTACCGTTTCTTACGTATCTCTTTCTTTTTCTTTTCTTGTCTTTTTTTTTTTTTTATTCCCAGAGCAGCAATCCTTTTTATTTGAATTGCCAGCTGTATGGAAAATCTGATTACTGCCTTTTTTTTACTGCTTAGCCAAGGTGGGCAGGAGTGAAGAACTGGCTTTTTTAAAGCCTTACCTGGAGTTGCCTTTCATCAAAAGGTCCTTTCGCAACGGTGTTGGATCAGGAATTAAAAAAACTTCATTTCGAAGAGCAAAGTCATAAACAAATGCTTAAAACCGCAGTCCCAGTTTTAGCATCGGAGGTTTAACTTTGCGCTTAAAATCATTTCAGTGCTTTTCTGGGATAAAACCAACAAGAGACGAATGTTCCCGTGTCTTCGCCGTGTAAACAGATGTTTATTTCAAAGAGCACAAGCCAAGTGGAGCAGATGGGATTGCTCAGACAGGGCTTTGTTTCCAAAGTTACAGTATCATAAAGTTTTGTATTGAAATGAATGTTTTCATTTGGATAATTCCCCTTTCTTTGTAAAGCTGCAGATTTAATCAGCTTGCCCTTGATTAATACAGAAATAGCCCCGTGCTCTGTGTGGTTGGGTTCCTACGGCCTCGTGCTGTTGTTCCTGACATCCCAGCAAACCCACGCTTCCCTCCTCCCGAACCACAGTTCTTCGAAGACAACTGCTCTGGCAATTTTAATAAACACTTTAAAGCTCATTTCGTTTCCAAAAATGGGAAGGGCCACTGGGGCAAGACAGAATGAGGCCCTACTTGTAGCTTCTTGGTTTTCTATGGTTATTTAAAATGACCTGAGCAGGAAATAACATCTTGAAATGTGTCATTTCATTTCCAGAAGGGTCCTGGGAAATTTGTTCTAAGGAAGGGCATCGATGCAGCTCCCTTTGCTTTGGTTAATTGACTTAAGCAGGCAACACACATCTGGTGATATGTGCCAAATGGGTTTTCTGCTCATCTGTTACAGTTGTGATGCGGTAATTAATGTGTTTGGTTTTGTTTTTCCTCAATTTCCTGTAAAAAAAAAATAAAAAGGTCATGTGGTCTGAAAACATACATAAACGTGGTGTGTAGAAAAGGTCATCTGCTGAGTTGCACGTGTGAATTTTACCTTGTGGCTGTTTCCTCCAAATGCAGTGTAACGAGCTGTGACGTTGGCTTGAAAATGTTGCAAAGTATCCATGCAATGCGTTTTGATTTCAGAGCTCAGAAAATAATAAATCAGTATGTGGATGCTTTCTAATATTTCCTTGTTAAATATCGTAACCTGGGAGATCATTACTGAACCGAGAGTAAGGTTGACTGGCATCATCACATCCATGATGCCCATTCCCGTGTTTTGCACCCCTGAGCTCATGGAGAGGAGTGGCTTGAGCACGGAGCTGTACTTGTGTGATACTGGCTTTCTGGGCTGCAGAATTTTTGGTGAAATTCTGGCTATTTGAGGAGATCAAGCATATTCCTGTTGGCAGTTGTCTGTGATGAAATGCTTAAATCACCTTTTTAAGCTGATTAAACTTAGATTCCTTGCAGGTAGCCTTGGTGTCTAGGTTGCTCAACTCTTGCAGCTTGTAGTCAAGTGACACCTAGAGACCTTTAAAAATGTTAGATAATTACTAGAAAATGTTAGATAATTATTATTCTCATGCCCTCTATCTCACACCACATCTGGATTGGAGAAAGCCCCAGACAGCAAAGGTGGGGGACACGCAGGACTTTCGCTGCAGCACCACGTTCATTCTTGCCTGCTGTGATTTCACCCATGGTAGATGTCCTGCAAACACAGTTTTCCAACTCAAATGCTGTCCAGGTCTGCCCAAAACTGCCCAGGCAGCAGCGTTCTAATGCCTTTGGCCAAACAAAAGGGCTGAGAATGACTCCTGACCTGTGCCTGCAGGTAAGTGCTGGTGAGAGGTACCAAACAGAAACGCAGCTCCAAATGCAGAGTCCGGACAGGGTTGGTTTTTGCCTTTTCAGTACTTAAGAAAAAAAAAGAAAAGGGTAACATGGATTTAATGATGCCCTTTTGCAGGCATAATGTGTGTGTTCCGCATCTGCATTCTGTGTTGTGTCGCAGTGCAGAAACCTGGGGTGGCTCTGTCCTGTTCCTTGCAGCTCATATCACCACTCAACTTATTTTTCAGGCAAGAAAAAAAAAAATTAAGCAAGTCCAGATTTATCTTTGTCTTGCACTTTCACACTGGTTTTGGTTAATTTTTTTTCTACATAATGAGATACATTTCTGCCTTGGTAACCTACAACAAACGAGGTTGTCTGAAAGCCAACAGAGCTGTGTGTAGCTTTGAGAATCAGCCTCTTCCCTTTCATTAGTGGTGCAGGTGTGCGAGTGTCTCGTTTAGTGTTTTGACAATTGCCTTTGAGCAAGGTGTGTTCAGGAGGGATGGAGAGCCAGTGTCCTGCTCGCACAGACCTCCATCCTCTTTTTTTGAAAGTGTGAACTGGAAGAAAAATAGCTTCTTGGCTCCAGGAAAGAGCCCATTATTTATGATTTAGTCATTCCCTGACAAGCCTCTCCACCTTGGGGGATCTGCATATACAAAAAAGATGGTATGAGGAGGACACCAAGAGCCATAAGTCTTGCACTCATCTAAATCACACCAGGCAAGTCTCGAAAAATGCAGATTATCCGGCTGACTTACAGCAGGGGTTGTGTCGCCGGTGATCTCATCACACCATCACCACCCACTGAAAACTCAGGGTGCTTACACTGCCTTCGGCGTGAAACACTAAGCTCTTTTTCTGGACTTTAAAGGTGTCTTTGTTTTGGAAAGAGCAGAGTAACATTAGTGATCTCTGTCAGAAAATAAGGATCTAAGTGTGCCATTGCTGAGCACATGAATTTTTATGCTGACAGAAACTGGAAACGTGACTTAAAATGTCTTTTTTGTCAGTTCAAAGAGGGCGATAGGAACAACTACACCCACGCTAGCCTACAGCATTATTAATGTGCTGCAATTAATTGTATTCCTTTTTGGAGAACGCGGATTCGTTACTCTGAGAAAAGATATTTTGTTGACTTTCTTTACTATTTTTCTTGGCTAACCTAAGAGAAAGGATAAACAAGTTTAGAGGATGGGAAGAGCAATGCTTTGCCTAGAGATCAAGGAGCAAGTTGGGAAGCTGGGAATGCCTTCACTACTCTTGGTCTTTGAAAGGCGTTCAGTCTGTGAGTTTAGGTGAGTCACTGCATTTCTACTCAGTTTCTCCCTCTGAAAAACAAGAAGCTGTCTTCACTGAACCACCTCGCGTGAGCATCGTGACTGATGGGTTCAGGAAGTGTTTTAGAGGTGTGGAGAGAAAGGATTGAGTTCTGCTCCCCCTTCAGTGTGACCTCCAGCATGGGACCAACCATCCCAATGCCCCTGTCCACTGTCCAACCTTCCTGGAGCCCTGGGGATTTCAGAGCCGAGCCAACTCCCGGGTTTATGAGCCGTTTTCAGCTGCGTTACTCCAGCTACTGCCAAACGTGGGTGAGATGCTGTCTTGGTTTTGGCTGGGATAAAGTTAATTTTCTTCCTAGCAGCTCTTACAGTGCTGTGGTTTGGAATTAGTGTGAGAGTAATGTTAGTAACGCACTGATGCTTTTTGTTACTGGTAAGTAGCATTTGTACCAAGTCAAGGATTTTTCAACTTCTCACACCCCACCAGCGAGAAGGCTGGAGGAGCACAAGAAGTTGGGAGGGGACACAGCCAACTAACCAAAGGGATATTCCATACCGTGAGATGTCATGCCCAGTATATAAACTGGAGGAATTTGGCCGGGAGGGGTGGATTGCTGCTGGGGGACTGGCTGAGCATTGGCCAACGGGCGGTGAGCGATTGAGTCGTGCATCACTTGAGTTTTATTTCACTCTCAGTTATCTTCCTTTCTATCGTCATCATATTTTATTTTTATTTCAGTCATTAAACTGTTCTTAACTCACAGGTTTTACTTGCTTTTGATTCTCCTCCCCATCCCACTGCGGGGTGGGTTTGTGAGCGAGTGGCTGCACAGCTCTCGGTTGCCGGTTGGGGTTAAACCACGACAGATGCCCGTTCCCTGGTGAGGCTGGGGAAGCTGCAGCCTCTACATCTGCACTTTCAAAGTCCAGCTGCTATAATTTCTTCAATCTTGAGCTAGTAATATAACATATTTTCTTCATTTTTTTTTGATCATGCATCTTTTGGCAAAACACATTAAAATGCATTTAAAGGACGTGCAGAACCCCTAAATCCATAGGGAATTTATCTTTATTTGGTTTTTTTAGCCTACTTTGCTCTAACTTGGATCTACCTTTGGAGGCTTTGCACGTAAGTTTTCACTAATGAGGCCTGTGAGAGCCATGTTCAAGCGTCGCAGTCACTATTTTTAGCAGACAGCCTGTCCTGAGCCCTGGGGTCAGATGCTGCATCCCCATCCCCACCATGCAAAGGGCCGTGCACATGATTTCACGATGCCTGCTGCTACCCCCAAAAAATGATCTCAACCTTTGAAAGAGGCAGCTGAGGTTAGCATGAGGTGAAAATGAGAAGAAGAAATCCGGTGGAACATGAACGAGTGAAATCTGCCTGGAGGAATTAACTTTTTTCTTTTCTTCTTCACAGATTACTGGCAAGAAAGGCAATTAAATAGCCTGATATAATAGCATCTAATTTGCTTATGAGTCTGAAAATTAGTTGTTGTAATGACATACCAATACTTGGTTTTCTGATTACCAAGCGTATATTAAAGTATACACCTACAAGTATATACATATATCATGTTTAGATGTCCTAATTTGCTATTATGTGTCTGTAGAAGGTAATTTATTGCCTTCAAATGCTGAGAGGAAGAAAGGAAGAAGTCTCTTACTGCTTTTAGGTCTGTGTATAATTTTGACCTTAAGAAAGAACAAGACAGATATGAGAGAGTATATTAGATGTCATTATTACTGCAATAAAATACAGATAAAAATCATAGTGCAGAAAGACTCTAAGACAACTATTAAGCATTTGTCATATAAAGAAAATCAAAATTTAACTGATCAGATATTCTGGCACTTTAAAGATTCATCATGAAGAACTACTTCTAACAGGAAAGCATTTATGCAATATGTCATTGATGAGCTCTCTGCTTAAATGTTTAAAGGCTTTGGAAAAAGATGAAAAATAGTGTCAAAGATGCTTTTTATTAGTCTGACAGAGCGCTTCGCTATATTTAAATTTATTTTAAATAGTGAAACAGTATGGAATTACGGTGGGTTTTTTCAA